TGCCTCTGCCTCCCAAGTGCTGGGATTAAAGGCATGCGCCACCATGCCTGGCTCAAGACCTTTTTTAAAGGTTAAAAACTCATTCAATTTTATGTCTTACAGGGCTTATACTCAATTCAATATTGTATAACTGTATTAATTCAACAGCGAACCTAAAAATTTTATAGACACTTTTGAAAGAGTTATATCTTTGCTCTGGAAACTGTTATTATGTTAAAGCTGTAATGAAATGCTTCTTCGAAAAAAATTAAATTAAAAAAAAACATTAAAAAGCCACAAAGAAGCTACTAGAACTAGTACATGAATTTATTGAGGTCACAGCAAACAAGGTCAGTATTTTTTTTTTTTTTAATAGAAGGAATAGTTTATTTGAGCTTACGGTTCCAGATGGGCAAGACTCTATCACGGCAGGGAGTCATGGAGGCAGAGGTGGCTGGAGGAGCAGTGGAAGCTAAGCTCTACATCTTCAAGTAGGCATGGGAAGCAAGAGAGTGACTCGAGATCTGGCAAGGCTTAAGTATTCTCTAAGCCCAGCGCAGTGGTGTGCTTCCTCCAACATGGCCACATCTTCCAAGACCTCCCAAAACAGCGTCACCAACTGGGGACAAAATGTCCAAATACTTGGAGCCTATGGGGGACATTCTCAAACCATCACAACTACTCTAAAATGTAAATATTCTAAATCTGCTGTGTTACTCTATAATGGCAATTAACTAAATTAAAATTTACAAAACAGAACTACAAAATGTAAAACACTCTATGTTGGCATATTAAAATTCAAGCACTCAGGAGTGCATGTGCAGAAGGAAGAGTAAGGAGTGCAAGGCCTGAGTTACAAGAGAATTTGGGGCTAGCTTTGAACACATGAGAACCTGTTCTCAAAAATACGTAATAAATAAATAAATGTATTATACAAAAGCACTAAATACTAACTAAACCTAATCAAACATGCTCAATATGTAAAAACACTGATAAAAGAAATCAAAGAATAAATGAAAAGACAGATGTGTCCAGTCCACTGACCAAAAGATTACAACATTATCATAATGCTGTAATCTCAATTCCTCTCCCAAATTTATATATTAGATACAATATAACGCCAATCAAAACTCCAGGACAATTTCCAGGAGCTCAGCAGGTAAAGTACTTGCCTGGAAGCCTGAGGACAGTAGTTTGATCCCAGAACCACGTGAAGGTAGAAGGAAAGAACCAACACTATACAGTTGTCCTGACCTCCACATGCGTGCTGTGGCATGTATGCTCATATGTAGACACCATGCACACAAACATACACAATAACAAAAATTTAAAAATGAAAACCTGACAAACTAATGCTAAAATTTACATGGAAAAGTAAAAGAAGCCACAATAGACAAAATTGTTTGAAAAGTAAAAGTTGGAAGACTCACACTTATCTGTGTCAAATTTTATTACCACTATAGTAACTAAGACTAATACAGAGCACTGGTAGAAAGATATATGGATTAATAATAACAGAGTCCCAAAATGGAACTATGCACATGTGGTTAATTAATTTTTAACAACAATGTAAAGGAAATTCAATAAAGAATAATACTGGATAACTAATTGATCATCTGTTGGCAAAAAAAGAGGGGGGAAGGTTAAAAAAAGAACTTGAACTTTACCTCATGCAATATATAAAAATTAGTGCTTGGGGGGGGGGATGGGAGGCTTTTGAGATTCAGTCTTCCCATGTAGCCCAGGCTGGCCTTCAATGCATTACACCTAGCTTATGATTCTCCTGCCTCTGCCTCCCAAGTGCTGGGAGGATGGACATTTAGAACAATCATCTTCAAATGGATCATAACTTAATGTAAATCCTAAAACTATAAAAATTCTAGAAGCAAACCTAAAAGAAAATTTCTGTGACCTGAAGTAAGGTAAAAATTCCATTGGTATGACACCAAATACATGATACAAAAAGAATAAACAGAAGTTCATCAAAATTTAAAACTTGTCTCCTGAAGGTTCGGTGTTAGAAAATAAAAGAGCAAATGATGAACTGTGAGAAACTAATCTATGACACCATGACAGAAAGGCACGTGTACATGATATCAGTCTGTGATATACAGACTTCTCAAAACTTGATCTAAGGAAATAATCCAGTCTGAAAAGGTGATGTAGCAACAGATTTGACAGGGACTTTGCCAAAGAACACAAACAGATAGCAAAGAAGTATATGAAAAAATATTCACTGTTACAAGCATTAAGGACTCGGTGAGAGAATACAAATTAAAACTACGGTGAGGTACTACTACATACCTACTGAAGTGACAATAAAACTATCAACATCAGGTACTAGCAATCAAGTACAGAGAAGTCAAGCTTTCATATACTCTAAGTAGAATTGTAAACCATTACAGCTTCTTTGGAAAATCATCTGACAGCTTTTTAGAAAGAAAATATATACTTACCATGCCACCCAGGAAACACACATGTAGGTATCTACCCAAGAGAAATAGACACTTATATGCATATAAAACTGTGCACAGGAATGGTTACAGCAGTGTATTCCCATTGCTAAAAAGTAAACAACCCAAATGTCCATTAACAAGCAAGTGGGTACAATGATATATTCACAAGATGGAATTTCACTCAGCAATAAAAAGGAAGGAACTATTGATGGAACAAGGAGGAATCTGAAATGCATTATGTCAAATGAAAGAAATACAGTATTCTAGAAAAGGCAAAAATTATATGAAAACAAAACAGACCAGTCACTGCGAGAGCTATGTACTAACTGTAAAAGAACCCAAACTACCATTGGGGTGATGCAACTCTTCAATATTGTTCAATAACTCAATATTGATTTCAATGTTGGTTATACAACTGCATATATTTGCCAGAACTCATAAAACTGTATACTAACAAGGGGGAATTTTAACATTTACCTCAACCTTTAAAAATTCCAAGATGCCACAAATGAAAATAAAACAAACATTTAGTATTTTAATACCTCACAACTATGGCAACAGATTCCAACCGGGAAGTGATAAAGGCCTTGGTGATTTCGGGTGCATATGTGTCTAATAAATGGGGTTCAGTTGACTTCACGAAAGGAACTGATGCTACCATCCTTTGCCACAGAGTTAATAAATAATGAACACTGTTGGGAGTGAACTCCCAGTGCTACAAAGAAACAAAGCAAATGTTATTTAACATGACATTATAGCTCTCTAGACTAATAACCATATAGCAACATTATAAAGATAAAATTAACTTTTTTGGTTTAAGTTTTTTGTTTTTGTTTTGCAACAGAGGTCCATGTGGCCCAGAGTAGCCTTGAATTCACTATGCAGATAATCTTGAACTTTTGATCTTCCTGCCTCCATTTCCTGACTGGTGGCATTATAAACACACACCACTATACTCAGTTCGTGTGGTGCTAAAGACAGAACCAAGGGCTTTGTGCATGCTGGGTAAGTACTCTATTAGAGCTACATCTCCAGCCCTGTTAAAATTAACTGTTATTCTGATTCTATGTGTATTCTATGTGTATTCTATGAATACACAGAGTACTTACAAACTAACATCTCTCACTATGCAACTCATGAATGATCATTATTAAAATGTTAACACATTTGCTTTAAATAATCCCATAAATATTTCAAAGAGCTGGTATCAAGGTTTTTAACCTTTCTACCACCCTACAAAGGAAATTTTCCATAATATGACCTAAAATCAGTCATTTATTTCTTTATATAGGTTGTATTTTAACTTCTCAACTCATTTTTCAATTATTAGTATTTAAGCAGCATCTCACTTTTTATGAAGTGTTACAGTGACTATTCTACCTAAAACTTTGCAAAGAACATTTTCAAAGCACGCAAATTTGTAAGAATTTATTAAAAGAAATCACCCCCAGAAATCCTAACCAATAAATTGTTTTAAAAATTATACTTTAGGGGCTCTAGAGATGGCTCAGTGATTAGGAGCAATGGCTATTCTTGCAGAAGATGGAGTTTGGTTCCCAGCACCCACATTGTGGCTAACAACTGTCTGAAACTCCAGTTTCAGGGGATCCAACATCTTCTTCTGGCTTCCATAGGCATTGTACACACAGGTATACATGCAAGTAAAACATTCATACACATAAAATAAAAAAATTTAAAAAATTCAAATTATAGTTTAACCTCATACACACATTTTTACTTACCTGCAGGCTAATAATAGTAAAATTAGCAATCAATCTGATAACTTCAGGATACTCCTTCACCATAACTAATTCTCCCAACTGATAGTTTGTCTTTAAACGAGCCAAAAGTTGACAAAATTCATGATAATTACCTGGATCAAACAAACCCTAAAGTAAAGAGACAAAAGAAAGGCTTTTCAAAGAAATGGATAAATTTCCCAAGTATTTTAAGTCCCCTAGTTTTGGTGGGTGCTTATTTTGTGGCAACTGGGTAGATAATAAAATAAGAAAACAAGTGATTCCTGCTGTTTAATGTCATTATCAAATATTAATAATAAGGAATCCAAACTAAAGATTTTTGTTTTTTTTACATTTATTATTTTTACTTTTTATGTGTATGAGTGTATTGCCTGCAAGTATGTAAGTGCACCGCCATGGAGGTCAGAAGAGGGCTTTGGATTCCCCTGGAACTGAAGTTAAGGATAGTTTGTAGCCACCATGTGGGTGCTGGGAATTGAACCCAGGTCCTCTGCAAGAGCAGTCAGTGCTTGTAACAGCTGAGCCATCTCTCCAACCCCACAAAGTAAAGTTTTTAGAAAAGCATTGCATCAAGATGATTATAATATAAAGTCTAAGGACCTGTTACACAAAAATTTTATGTGTGTACACAAGTGTACAAGTAATAAAAATTTCTTTGAATTTAACACTGAGTACCTATGGTATTGTGGCCTCAAGTTAACTTCCTCTTTCTAAGTGGATAGTCATCCAAACAAATTACCATCACTGAACAAAGTTTAAAAAAATACCCTCAAGCCAGGCGTGGTGGCGCATGCCTTTAATCCCAGCACTGGGAGGCAGAGGCACGCAGATCTCTGTGAGTTTGAGGCCAGCCTGGTCTACATAGTGAGTTCCAGGACAGCTGGGACTACAGGGAGACCCTGTTTCAAAAAGACAAAAAAAAAAAAACAAAAAAAAAAAACCTTCAAAAAAAATGGGTGACTTTTGGGAAAAAAAAACTTAACAAAGGAAAAAACAAGAAAAACCCTCCCATTCGACTG